CTCTCTCTCTCTCTCTCTCTCTCTCTCTCTACTCTCTCTCTCTCTCTCTCTCTCTCTCTCTCTCTCTCTCTCTCTCTCTCTCTCTCTCTCTCTCTCTCTCTCTCTCTCTCTCTCTCTCTCTCTCTCTGTCTGTCTGTCTATCTCTCTGTCTTTCCCTCTCCCTATCCCTCTCTTTCTCTCTTTTTATCTCTTTTTTTCATCTCTCTTTTTATCTCCCGGTTGAAAACGAGTTTGCGCCTCCACTCGCTTCATCGCAACTACTACACGCCCTGCCATTTCACTTCTCTCTGCCAACAATAACGCTTGCGACAATTTCTTTCGCTCATTGGGTTTACCTCTCTCGCAGGCGGTGTTTCACTGGACTATTCTTTTTACAGAGAGGTAAAACATCAACAGCAGTTTGCCGCACACAGGGTGTCTCAGATCCATCGTGCTACTTTCCATTTAACTTTCATAATCTAAAATCAATTTTAAAATTAAAGTCGATTCTTCTTCAACAAAAGTCTAGTAAAAGAATCCAAGAATTTCGATGATATTCCGTTTTAAGATCTAAATTCTCACGGGAATGAAATAAAGCAAATAAAAGTAACAGGACTGATTCTTAATTACGTTAGTTGACAAAAAGCTAACAAGAAATGTTCTACATTTATACATGTATTTTCAGGAAAGATTTATAAAGCACAGGATAAGTAATTTTCTTGTATTTTCTGCAGATTCTTCGTTATTGAAGAAAATGTTTTCTAAAAGCTGCAGTGATCATAAGACTGCACTCTCAGAAAATTGAAACTTTTTTATAAAAAAGTTCTTTCTTCTAAAACACATTTTGTTTTTGTAGAGTATACAAACAACTGATGATTTCGATTTGTCTTATATTGTTTTGTGGGGTGTGAAGAATATTAAGAAATATCTTATTTTAAAAATCTCTGCTCTTCAATGTTTAAGAATTAATTGTACCAGCATATGCGGATTTTTTTTTTTGGTCTACGATTTTTTTTGGTATAATTTTTTTTTGCTATCCCAATATTTGCGCTCAATTCTTCCGCGTACTGTTCAATCGTATTTCTAATAAGCAACGAATGATTACTTAGCTGTCAATGTCGTTGCATTAAAAGGACTAAAGCAACATTTGAAGAATAAATCCTTTCCCATGATGTCTTCTGAGTCTTTTTTTCTATAAATGATATCGCGATTATTTCACTTTTTCTCATCGACACAGTTGCATTGTTTCTGTCATTCCAATGTTATATTCATTTTTGTACAAATGAAAGATGTCTCGTATTTCCACCTTCATAATAAATTACTTTAATCTTCGAACAAAGAACGAAGTAGTAACTTAGGAGATTTAAAGGATACAGTGATCTAATAAATTACTAAATTAAAAGAACTTGCTGCAAGTTTAATTTGAATTAAATGTAACAGATAAAATGTCTTCATGTTATAAAACAAATAACGTAAAAGCCGATTTTTCTATAAGTATCAGAATAAAAATATAACATATTAGTTTTTTCTTTACGTACGACATTCACAGAAATTGCACTAACACTGATCTCACATGTACACACTTGTGTGTCACCTGTACGCACGTACACACAAAAGGTATCATTTCTCTAACTAAAAGTAATCTCATATCTTCTGAACGTAACCAAATTACGCTCATTTATTCTTCTTAACGAAATTTAACAGCACACTGAAGACAGCTCTCTGCGTTCTCGATCTAATCAGCTGAGATAATATCAACTATCGTTAAGACCGATAAACCTATCAAGATGAAATAAATTGTGAGGTTTATTCCGAAAATTTCAAGAGGTTATTTGTCTTTTTGTTAACATTTTGTTAATGCTTTGTTCGATATTCACCAAAATAAGCAATCGTCGATTTTTTATCAAATGATTTCTAACGATGTAGTCATTTTGCAAAAGGCTGACGATAAGGAACTGTTATCGGTGAAGCTAAAAGTTTTTCAATCTCCTCGACAACATCGAGAATCGATCAGAAATTCTAGATATAATATTTAATATACGAAGCGAAGTGATTTAAAAAATAATAATATAATACTTAATAAATCATAAATTTTTTATTTTCTCACATGTTTTACTTAATAAAAATCAGATTCCCTCATATCTTAACAACATTCTCAAAACATATTTTTTTGCTCTATTCTGATGATACTTTAATAAATCATATAATGCATCTCGATATATATATTCATCAGATCAGTGAAATTTCACTTTCTTTAAATAAGCGCAAACAGAATTTCAATTGTAAGATAATGAATTGCGATTGTAAGATATATATCAAAGATAAATGAATCGAGAGAATTTCATTCGGGCAGATAGCGAATGGAATTTTCGCATTTCCTATGCACATAAATGATCTCCTAAGTTTCGCAAACGTCCGAAATTTCCTAATAATCTCGAATATTAGCCAGGAACGGAAGCAAATTACTACAGCCGCCATCGATTTCAGCCAAAAAATGTTAATACTGGCTATAGCATAGCGTGGAACACTGTAGAATAAATCTAGGTCATTTATGTACAGTTAGAATTTCATGTTCTATTAAGCTGTAGTCTATTACGTCCATATGGCTCTTGTAAATCACGAAGACAACGAAACTTCTCGGTATTTATTTTTCCGACCGACATTCGACTCGATCTTGGACACGCGGTATACAAATCGCATTCTTTCCTCATCCAATTCTCCAACTCCTAATGACTGGCGAAAGCTGATATATGCCATCGGCAAGGTCACCAAATATATATCTGTGCAACAAGAGTCACAAAATTAAAAATATTATAAGAAAAGTTACAAAACTTTCACTCGAGCAGACGTAATAATGACGAGAGAATAATTAGGAACTTGAGACGAGACATTTCGTAAAGTTGAAGTACATAAATTGCTTACTCAATATATGTTATAAAATATCATGAATAATATTTTTATATAAGTATAGTGTTACTTTCAATGAAGAGACAACTTATTACATCTCTGTAAATCAACGTAACGATAGAGATTGCTATCTCTAAACCAACGTAACGATAGAGATTGCTATCTCTACATGAAAAATTAACTCGCTCATAATTGGACATGATTCGGTATTCTGTGCCTTAGACAATCTCAGCATGATTGATCGGGAGCAATAAATCTCGTTGCAGAGTCGAGGGTTTCTTGACTGAGAGAGTCGCCGAAAAAACGTCGGGATAAATGGATAAAGAGAGACGGTAAGTAAGGCGAAAAAGCAAGAAAACGTAGCGTAAGAAAGTAACGCAGAAAAGAGCAAAGATGGACAGCTCGCTCCTGAGTAAGATTTACAAAGCTTGAGAGAGAGAGATATAAATATTTGTCGCACGACAAATAGACCTGAAGCGGAGATACTGTCGCAGGGAGTCTCGGCGCATTTTAAAAGACCTAGCCATGTAGATTATGTATTACATCGTTGTTTTAATAATATCGAGGAATTTCAACTGAAATTTTAGATATTCCGTTAAATCTTATTTTATTAAATATTTCACATAAATATTTATGTATACACGCAAGCACATTCTGATAGCATGTTTCAAAT